AAAATATATTATACTAATAAATGTTTGAAATTGTATCTAAAATATAACAACTAATTCGATAAAAAAAATTGATGGGATATTTGTAAAAATGTCAATATTATTAATTAGCATTGTGTAATAAAAATAACTTAAAGTATGCCAATTTTTTGGCATTTATTATTACATTATATATAATGAATACATTCCATATATAAATTAGTTTTTTATGTAAATTAAAAAAAAAAAAATTGACATGTAGATTTAATTTAATTCAAATATAACCACCCATAATGCATTTGTCTTATTACAAGTTAGGTATTTCAGTTTTAGTATATATATGAACCATTAATGATGAATAATAAACCAATCACTTTATATAATTAGTTTCTAATTAAACCATCATATTAATGATGAATAATAACTAATATATCTATTTATCGTTATTTGCCATTTATGATTATACTTTGTGTGCAACCCAATAGGCTCACGCAATATTTGTATTGTTAATAATGTGTTTGTGTTGATGATCATATCTCCAACATTAAGGGTATGTGATGTTTTTAGATTGACTAACTCATCCTCTCTCTCTCTCTCTCTCTCTCTCTCTCTCTCTCTCTCTATACCATATATTCATCGAGAGCTGAACCATCAACTTTTAAGTGAGAGACGTCAATCCAATAACATTTACTAAAATTAGGCCAAAAGCAAAACACCCGTTGGTGGGGAATTGTGAATGTCGAAATACTTCTTGGATATATAAGGATATCGGTTCTTTTACATGATATTTAATTATTTTGTATTTTTATACGATTGTTGTCAAATCGGCTCTTGGATAGTTTTGAGGGTGGGGTTGTTTTGTATGAAATGTGGTTAATTAATTTCTCAAAATGAATAGATAGATAGTCATTAATTTGGAGCAAAGCATGAACATCTTGTTTTATTGTGGTTGAACAATATATTTATAAAATCTATTAAAAATGATTTATGATTAGTTTTTTTTTAAATATTTTTTTCGTCTATGGAGTTTCACGCCTAATAAATTTTTCTAAATGGTCCAATAATAAAAACATAAATACTATAACGTACGAAATATGTTAGGTGAAACGTAGATTATGAGTGTGGACCATATAAGACCCCAAAACATTTCACATGCTAATATTACCTACCTACGAAGCCATAGCCACGAAGAGGGGTGCGTTATTAGTATGAACATGACAATGTGTGTTTACCACTATGTACTATATGTTATCTCAATATTTTATATCATTATTAAAAAATAATAAATGAGAGTTGATTCGTCATTCGTACACAATAGTATTTGTCATATACAACAATGATATGTTTTTTTTCATATTGTATACCCTTCTAAAACATAAATTGTTGTTTATGAAAAAAATTTATTAGGGAGCCTTTTTAATAAATAAGCTATAAAAAGGCTACCCCTTAACAGTGACGGACCTTAGTGGGGCATTTGGGGTCCCGGGCCACTGCTCAATTTCCGGCACGCATTGTAAATTATTTATTTATTTATTTTTTTTTGTTTTTTTCTATTAGGTGCACCCGATTGAAGTACGAATAATACCCCTACTAAAACAGTGTGCGTTCGCCACTGCCCCTTAATTCCAGTATATGTTAGCAAGTCAAGCAATGGGTTTATTAATAGGTCCATGAAGTCGAATCATTCTGTTCGTACCCTCCAAAATGAAACAGATTGTTTCTTCACAAACTTGTCTTTATGAACATTAAAAATTGATCTACCCTTTTGTCCAAGAAAGATGGAAGAATTTCTCTTGAGGACAAAATTAAAAATTAAATTAAATGGTAGGGACTTCTTTTGCATATGGCAAAATATATAATCCTTAACCACTTCAACAAAACAACATTTGTGTTGTTTTCCCCCCTATATTTCCCATGCGTCTAACAAGATATAAATATATAAATTGTACCCACATTGGCTACATTCGCATAATATATATTGGCTATAATAATAAATAAAGATAGTGAATTGTCAATTGTTCATACTTGAAAAGCGTACATATAACTTTGCGATAAGATTACTCAATAGATGCACCCTCCAAAATCCCTAATTTACAAAAATCCCCTTTCATTTTTTACAAATGGTACAACACAAAAAAGTAAACACTACGCACAAACTTGTATATTTCACAAAGTATGAAAGGTAAGGGACTAATCTTGTACACTTTACAAAAATCAGGGACTAATGAAATAGAAGTCATGAATAAGCCAATCGTTGAACGCTACGATCTCTGAGAATTCCAGCGTAAAGAGCCATTCTATTGGCAGGCATACTTATTTTCTTTTTACTCCCTTCATCTTTTAACAATGACGAAATAGTGCTCAACTTATTAAAATTCTTACTTTGAAGTCTCTTTCTAAACTCTTCTCCATTGCCACTTGGTTCCATCACATCTTCTGCAAAGTGAACCTTCTTTTTCTTTTTCACCTTCTTCTTCGTCCCACCTACACCAAATCAAAAAAAGGTCAAAATCAAGAAAAGAAAAAGTCAACAGCCTAAGGAATTTTGACCAAATCAAAGTCAAGACGATTTCAAGAAGAAAGAAACACGAACCTATGGAGATGCAGGGTCTTGGGTGGTTGGTGATTGAGAATTTGGTGGCTCCGGCGATGGCGGTGGTGGGCTGTTTCTGGAAGCGGAAGGCGAGGAGGATGACGGTGCCGGAGACGGCGGCCATGGCCGTCGCTAAGACCATTCCGTTTGAAGCAAAGATTGATGACATGACGGGATTTTTGGGTGGTTTTTGCAGAATTTGGAAGATCGGAGAAATGGGTGTGAGAGAAATCGAAAAAAGAAAGAGAAAAGATGGGTTTTGATTAAAGAATTCGCGATGGAAGTTGGAAGTTTGAAGTATAGAAGAATGTGTTAATGGTTGGTTTGTTGGTTCTGGAAAACGAGACTGAGTTTTTAAATAAACAGGGGGAAAATGTGGTTGGTTACTTATTTCTTTAATATAAAAACACAACAATTTTATTTAAACTGATATATAAAATTACAAATTATACAGATAATTAAATTATTTTATGCCAGCTTTTATTACGAAACTATTTTTAAAATCAACATGCGAAAATTTATATCATTAAATAACAAATTTGACTGTTTAAAACAAAAATCGGCTTATTAAGAACACATTACAATATCATATCTATTAGACATGTATTATTAAAGATTAATTTAAAGATAGTTATATAGACTATAGAGTTTGTATATTATTATACTTTTCTTTGAAAATTGTGTGTACAAATGTATTCATTGCGTCATTGGATATCAATAATCATCAACGAATTACAATTTTACATATTTTATATCATGGTATCATACTTCTCTCTCTCTCTCTCTCTCTCTCTCTCTCTCTCTCTCTTATTGCTTGTCGAGAAAGATACGCCATTTTCAATTCTTCTTTTGTTCTCTTTTCTTGACGAACACTCTATCGACCTTTCTCTCTTGTTTCATTCTATATGTGATTTCTCTCAAACGCGTTTTCTACTAATCATGGTTACAGAAACCAAGTTTCATCCCGCTATTACATCATCAAATATTAAATCATTCATCTACGTTACCCTTTAGAAGAAAAATAGTTCATCTCCATCTTGATCTACATTATTCGCTAGTAAGGCAACAACTGTTTATTGTGATGATGCTAGTGTTATTTATTTGGTAGGAAATCTCGCTCAACATCAACTCACCAAGCATATTGTAATAGATATTCAGTTCGTCCGAGAAAATGTTGCAATATGCAAATTCTGAGTTCTTCGTGTTGCTTCTAAATATCAAATTGTTGAAGTCTTTAACAAAGGTCTTTCATGAATTTTGTTCGATGAATTCCACAGCAATCTCAACATTCGTCAACCTCCGACTTCACTTGTGGTGGGACTACTAGACATTTATTATTAAATATTAATTTAGAGATACATATTAGAGTTTGAATCTAATTATACTTCCGTTATTTTACGTTTGAGAATTATGTATATATACACTTACGGGTGATCAATAAACATCAGAGATTTATACATTCTATCCATATCAGACGTCTAGATATTGATTTGATAAGATGTTTTTATTATCTAAACTGATAGATAATACAATGATTTAGGACATGTTCGGCAAAACTAACTGATAGTTGGAAGCTATAGCTTTTATTTATATACGAGTGTTCAACAAAAATAGCTAAAAAATTTTAAAACATGTAAAATTGCATAAATTAACTTATCTAAAAATACATCATTGATTTAAAAAAAAGGTAATTAAGTCAATTTGCAAAATTATGGAAGAGTTTTTTGTTAAACGCTACTTGGTGTAACTTTTGGATTTGGTGTGTTTGTTTTAGCTAAAAGTTGGATGCTTTTAACGATTTTATTTTCGAGTTTTTTTCTTAAAAACTAAAAGTTACAAGCTCCCAAAAGCTGCATACCGATCACGCCCTTACTTTATATGACATTTTTATTACAAAATAAACACTAATGCTCAAAATTATAAATTAATTTGTTAAATTTTGTAAATGAATCCAATAAATAAAAAATAAAAAAATATGTCCGCTCCCGATTCTCAAGAATTGATGTGAGCCTTGCTTCCCATAATGTAATTGCATTGTGTATGGCCCAGCCCATAAAGACCATGCGGACTTGGCGTTCTTGGTCTTTGATTTTATAGGATTTCATTTAATCTTTTGGTGAAAGAAAACAATCTTGCTTTCTCGCTTCAATTTTCATAATTTTCCTTCCGGTGATGTTTTGGTTTGATTTTATAAACATTGATTCAATGTTTTGTTATTTATTAATAATACACAAAAACACTTACAACAAGATTTTGGTCCAAGGAAAATCTACGTTCTTTGTTCCAATAGCTTATTTCTTAGAGATGAGATGTTCTTGTCAATGAGAGATTGATTTGGATTAACATAGAAGAATTCCTTAGTAGGCGAGGAGTCAAAAGTTTATCACTATGGCTGCAAATAATGGGGGTATGTTGTGGATATGAATGACATTGTAGATGAGAATTTGTTTATCATTCGGGATTTGAATTAAGTCTAATTGTAGAGAAATTAAATATGCTCGTGTTTTTCTTTTTATTTATCTTTCTATCAATATAAAAATGTGACAAGTGTTTTAAAATATTATTAATACAAAATTGCAAAAAAGGTCAATGTGATTGTAAAAAATATGTGGTTTTAGTCCAAAATCGTTTAATGGTATATCAGTTGTCTAATTTTGGATCTTTTTAATGATTTTGGTCCCTATCAACTTAAAAATATTATTATACCCCCTATATTTGTTTTTCTTTTTATATTTTGTTATATTTTATGTTAATTGTTTTAATTAATTAAAAATAAAAGAAAGTCCACCCACCCTCTCTCTCTCTCTCTCTCTCTCTCTCTCTCTCTCTCTCTCTCTCTCT